AGGTTTGTAAAATCCTCAATATAGCATTCTTCTTCTTCTTCTTCTTCTCTTCTTCTACGATTGCGGAACTCAGAAAGAGGTATTATTGCAGATGAACTAGAAGAACTCTACTTCTTGAAACCGCGACTTTTCCCAACATCCACAACCATCACTTCGACACCTGCGCCGCCAGTGGCCTCCTCTTCTTCCGACAGTGAACGAAATAGAGTTGGAGTCCTTGAGAGACCGGGTAATAAATCTGTTCCACATGCCTGGTCGGCTTCCTGCTGCATTGTACCTCTGACTGCTGCCTTCATAGTAGGCATAGCCTTCGAGTCAACTCAGCAATTGCTAAATGCGGCTGGTATTATAAACTACAGGCTGCGCACCCCAGCTGAAAAATGCAGTTTAGTATTAGGTAGCCTGTTTACCGTGCTGGTACCACTTATCCTCTTTTTCCATATCCCCGTGGTGCTGTCATTGGTCTTCGTTACAATTGTATCAATAAAAAAGAAGAGTGGCAAGATACAATCGACGGATACCGGTGACCTCACTCGATCCGGCTTCACTTCGCCAGCGGGAGATGTTCCAACTCATTTGAGTCAATAAATATTTATTGAATTATTTTGGGTAGGGAGTGGTAAGACATTGAAAGAGGCAGAGAGCCCGCGATTTACCTTCGGTGTTTTTCAAATCATGCATAAACTATCAAGCCACCTGACCCGAACCACGTTCATTGTTGTATATAAATTTATTCTGATCAATATTCACCAATACAACCAATAATCCAATGCATTGGCACAGAGAACTACCATAATCACGTGTTCACCTGGCATCCAAAGTGAACGTCTTTGTCTGCATCCCTAAAGCATGAGAGTGGATGGACCATCCTTCATTTTTAACACTACGCATGATTACTTTAAAATCTAGAAGTTATCGGACCCATCTTCATCATTACTCTTGTATGACTTCTAATATGATCTTTCATTAACGAGGAACGTTCTTATGGAGATATCCTCTTTTTCCTTCCGTGACATATTGTGTTGGAAAAATTGAAATACTGTAAAGAAACGATAAGCTAACATTATGCTTGTCCTGTTGGTTTCCTTTTAATTAACGACCGCCCCTAACAGGACGGTTAATAAAATGTTTTCGCCTTGTAGTGCCCTCGGCATTTTATACACAGGCACAAAATGATTTAAAGAAAATGAGATATGGGATTTTTCTAACTGTTTATCATTGATCACAGACGAAACTGAGATGTTGTTGGAATCTTTATCGGGAGATGAGAAGTCGATACGTGTTTTTAGTCGTGGAAAGGGTTTTCTTCCCTTCGGAGTATAGCCAGCGGCACACCATTTAGTATCTAGTCTATAGGCTTAATATTAATTTGGCTTAGTTTTCAGTTTTGTTAAGTTTAGCTTAGTTGATTTACTTTATTATAGTATATAGCAGTAATCACGGTATCTTTATCTACATTTGACGATATATAAATAAACTAAGATGTAAGCTAAGCTTAAACCAACAAACTAAATAATAAACAAAACAGTATGCTAAAAGATAAATGTTTTATCCGTGGAAAGGCTGCTCTCATTTAAGCGAATATTCAATGTCACATGTAGATTAATATTGAGAGAAATTTCATTATGTAGAATTTTTCATGCAACGGAAGACTGGAAAACCATACTGTCTTCAAGGACAAGGTATGTTTGGCTCAAATTAATGTATCCAAGCCTCACACAGTCTAAATTAGTAAATTCATAACTATCGTACACCGGGAGAGCGCAAAGGCGAAAGTAGCATACAACGGTAACGGACTTTACAGTTATTGTTTTTAGCTGACATTTGTATTAATAAAATAGTCCCGATGAGAGTAAAGTTGATTTACCCATTTAGATACCCCAAGACCAAAAATTCTGTCTGATAGGACCGGTGGTATTGGTATAGTTTAGTTTTTATTTTGTAAGTTTAATTTTTGTTTTAGTGTAGTTTACTGTTTAGTTTAGTTAAAATGATTCAGCATATAGTAATACTTTAAGTATATTTGTATAATTTTGGCGATATCTTACCAAACTAAAGGCTAAGCTAAACTAAAATTTAAATAACAGCCTAAATAATAAAAACTAAAGTAAAAATAGTGAAGCAAAAAGTAACCACAAGACACGGGCCAACTTTATCGTTACCCACATTCCTTATAACTATTTAAATAATTCGAATGTGCGTGTGCTTTTCAAATATTTGACAAACCGCTTTGCATGAAACATCATCAAATATGCCATTAGTGTTTTCATGCTTGGCAATATACACGACAGTGTTCTATACCGTAATGCCTGAGAAAATGATGGCCTGTCTGTGTACATACGTGAAATTTGTTTTATATTCAAGTATGGGCATTGCTACGGAAGGGTCGCAGCCGTCTGCCAGTCTACACAACACATTCCTAATTTGATTTAAGAATCCCATTCCAAGGAAAGAAAAACGAAAAACTATTTGTCTCATTGGAGTTACACTCTTTTCAGCATGCAAAGATTATTTGTAAGCTTCCAGTATAAAAGCCATTTTTCTAGTTTTTCGCGAGGGTGGCAGAATCACTTCAACTTAAGCATAACGGACTATGAAGTGTGAATAATTTAAATGCTATCTTTATATCCTTAATTAGCATTACCCTTGCCTTCCTCTTTTTATTTAGGATCAATTGTTAACGGGATGATAAATTATCTGCTGTTACCTGGTAATTCTCTTAAAATTTAAACAATGGCACAAAACGATTGTTCAAAAATACCACAAGGAAGCGCTTTGCATGTCATTATACAACTTTTAAACTGAAAACAATGTTTTTGGGGAAGAGTTAATTTGATACCTAAGGAGTGCAAGAAAATATAGTTGTGTGTATGCTACATAAAGGTATAAGAATATCGAAGACCATGGGGACGACATGCTTATTGTGTACTCATTTTATCGAGTGTGCTTCCTGTGGGCGGCTCGAAAACTTGCAATGGAAAGCGGACGTCCTGGCATGACGTACATTTCCATGGATGATGCTGCATGATAGAGAAATGTTACAATCTTGATTATTTTGAGTTGACCTAATTGTGAGAAAACTCGAGGCGTTCGACGGGTTTGAACCCACGTATTAGAGAAGGCCTTTATCGGAAGCCAACACTCTAACCGCTAAGCTACAAACGCACCACCTCGCGCCATGGCTTCCGGTAAATGCCTTCTCTAATACGCGGGTTCAAATCCCATCGAACGCCTCGAGTTTTCTCACAATTGGGTCAACTCAAAATAATCAAGATTGTAACATTTCTCTATCATGCAGCATCATCCATGGAAATGTCCGTCAAGCCAGGACGTCCGCTTTTCATTCTGGTGGATTCTATAGGATTGTTCAGGAAATCCTGCTTGGGCAGTTACCTTGCTCTTCCATATTGGTGGATTCCATTCAAGCGGTAAAGTTGGGCGGGTAATATCGATCCATTTGTGATTAAATTCATGGCGCGAGGTGCAGCGTTTGTAGCTTAGTGGTTAGAGCGTTGGCTTCCGGTAAAGGCCTTCTCTAATACGCGGGTTCAAATCCCGCGAAGGCCTTAATTATTTTTACAATAAGGTCAATTCAAATTAAGCAAATCTGCTAAACCCCTAATAATCTTGATTATAATACGACGTTCATTAGACGATACAGGGTGGGTTAAGGCTGGATATTTATGAAAAGATCAGACGTTGCTGTAGAAAATATCCAGAAGAACATAAAGAACGACACTGTGAAACGTACGTAAACCAAAGCCAAACGGCGCTATTCGGCCACTTGTTGCGTCAAACTTCCCTTGGATGCCGAATTTTTTGCATTTACTCGAATATAGAGTGACTAGCATTTGAAATTTAAATTGATATATTTCGAGATAGAAGCAAAATTTATTTAATTCCTCAGATAGTCTATGTAAATTCTATTTTTATCCCACATACAATTAACAGTGTGTACAATCCCGCATATTAATGATGCAGTATTGTAATATTATGCAAGTATATTATAATTATTGTTTCATATAATACATAATAATATAATATGAATATATATTATAATATAAAATATACTTTAAATGCTATTCGTAAGATAATTATAAGATTGCAGGTGGTTTAAAGAAAATCACATAAAAATGACGTACTTCAAAATGTGCCCTTTTTCCAAACTCGATTCCGCAAAGATAATCCTAGAGGGACATGGTTGCGCCAACCGGTTTTCAAGTTGACGTTAAATGCGAACTCGATATTGAATTTCTCAGGGTCCCTTTTCACCGCTGTACCTCTGATATTGGCGACATGTTCTGCAAGCAATTAGGCATTGAAATTTCAATAGATATTTCATTTAGAAATGCTGAAAAGCGCGCGCTTTATTTTCTGGCGACAACGCAAAGATAAATACTTGATTAATCCAAAAGAGTATGGCAAATATGTGAGTAAATAAATGAGCCTGATATGGCAAGCGTCTATGAGGATAAATACGGAAAATCTGACAGCCGGGCACAATAAATAATTGCAAATAAATTTATATAAAATCTGAAAATCAAATTCGGCAAATATAATTTTTCAGCCGTTCACAGTGATATTGAAAATAGGAGAGTTAGATAGGCGTCTGAAGACTGCGATCACAAGCGCTTTCAGCGCGGCGAACTTACGCATGTTCTTCACGAACTCTCCCTTCCTACGATTGGGAGGTAAAGACCGACTCCCGTTGAAAGGCACATCCATGTGCAATTACTGTTTCACTTGCTCATGTGGAGCAGGATATATCGGCAGAACAACGAGGCTTCTGGAACAGAGAATACGTGAGAACACACCGACCTGGTTAAATAAAGGGGAAACCAGATTGATTTCAAGTTCTATTTTCGCACACCTTTTCGATCCGAATCATCGAGTCGATACTAATGAAGTCGTTCAGGTTTTCTACCGGACAACAGCTAACGTTTCCATTGATCTACGACAGTGGGTGATTACAACAGCCGAAGCAGTGGCAAGACGGCTAGCGAATCCAGTGATGTGTTGTCAGAAGACGCTGACAAAAGCACTTTCACTTCCCTGGCCGATCTCGACGTCAGGTGACGAACCCACGTCACCCCCAGCCCCTAGTGACAGGCGTTCGCTCTGTGCAAATGACAGTGGTTATCACTCCATGTATCTGACCCCTGACTAATGTACACAGCCTAAGTCAATTTCCACTCCCCCCCTCTCTGAGCACAAGGATATCTACACGTCGATCTCGCCATGTGGGCGGCGTGAACACGGTGAGTTTTAATCAAAGTACCCTTATTAACCCTGTCCAACTGTACAATTTTTATTATCCCCGAAAATGTACTGGCCTGATGAAGAGTTGCTGAAAACATGTGTTTGCCGAATGGACTTTTCATATTACAAGTAGGAATACTTGCGGAACTAATCCTTATCGCACCACCCACGTGGTGACATTGCCATGTTGGTGTGATTGGGACTGGCGAATGGGAGAAAGTAGGGTAGGCTGTGAGTAGTAGTCATGGGTTCAGTACGCGGCTTGAAACTTACTCTCACGTGCACGCAGGAGACATCCGTCACCAGAGGAAAGGGACGAAATACAATCA